ATCACAGTGCACATCCAAGAGGTGGCTCGCTCTTATTTCAAATTTTCCGAAACTCGTGTTTTTGGCCAGTTTTCCTCCTGAAAAACAACCATGCAAATGACTTGTGAAAGGCGATAGTGCTTATGCAAATGAATATGAGGAACTTATTATTAGCAGTCCTAAATTTTGTTGCCGGTGATCGAAAAAGGTCCTCTCAAGGCTCATTTAAGTTCTGCGTTTTAGCATGTTCAGCAATTGCGCACTTTCAAAAGCAAATCAACTCAAGCATATATGCACCACCACCTCTCGCAAGTCATGGAAATTCGAAAGAACGGCATTAATTCATTCATTCAGCGTGCTGCCGAGACAAGACATTTTTTCCATACCTGCAAAACACAAAGCTGCTTTTCAGTTGCATTTTAAACTCAGATCTTTTTTGATTGATTCAAGATCTGTTATGACTTCCGGATCTTCAGATGTGCGAAGCTCTCGAAAAACATACTCAAGCATGCGTCTTTCCACTTTCGCACAACGAACTCGGTGGCGACGATCCTCTGCTGACAGTCATCAGTGCGCCCTCGCTGCTATAAAGGTTCTGTCGTACGCGTTGTTTTTTTTTTTGTTTGTCCAAAAATTACCAAATGGAATAAAGAAGCTGTTATCCTGGCATCCACATGCTCCTTTTTTAAGCTACTGAATCCACCTGAGGCCGATCTGCACTGGTTGTCTTTCTGGTTGCGCAACCTGGCACTTCTAATCCGCACTTAAAGTTTTCATTAGCATCTGTTTATACCGGTCTCGATAAGCATAGCGAGATGCCGTCTGTGGCCGCAGTCCTCGTCTTCAGCCGCATCTTTTCTTGGCATTATTACATAACGTGCGTCAGAATTGCTGGTATTTTTGGGCTAAGCCATTAGTCGCAAACATCCTTCTGAATTTAGTTGTCTGTAACGTCGATGCCATTAAAATCACTCATGCCGTCGGTGGAGTCCGATATTACCAAAATGGTTCCGCATAATAAATGCATCTATGCCGAGCCTTCTTACCTTAGTCAATATCTACCTTTCTAATAATACAAACTTTCGTTTTTTAATCGCTTTCTTTGGATAATTTGGATAAAAAATTGATATATTTTAAGGAAGTGCTGAATGAAATTAAGTGTTCAAGTGATTCACTCG